CCAAAAACTCTTCTGCTGGCCTTGCACAATGCACAGCAAAATGTGATGGGAAGAAGTCATGGCCCCCGTGGGCTCCTGACTTCCAGAGGCCTCCTGTCCCCCACCCGTCATCACTGCCATGGCCTCGGGTGAGCAGCCACCCTGGGCCTGTGTCACAGGCATCTTTCATGAAAAATCCTTTCCTTAGGATTTTTCCTCCTGAGAAGCTGACAGGCCTCAGGAACAAAATGTAAACAATGGTTATCTGCTGCTGTGGAATGCAACAGGTGCATCTGGGATTGGTCTCATGTGGTTGTTTCTAATTAATGGCCAATCACAGTCAGCTGGCTCGGACTCTCTGTCTGAGACAGAAGCTTTGTTATCATTCATTCCTTTCTATTCTTAGCTAACCTTCTGATGAAACCTTTTCTTCTATTCTTTTAGTATAGTTTTAGTATAACATATATCATAAAATAATAAATCAAGCCTTCTGAAACACAGAGTCAACATTCTCGTCTCTTCCCTCATCCAAGAACCCCTGTGAACACCATCACAGACCTGTGCCACCTCCCCACACTCATGGAGAAAAACCCAGGGGGAGCATCAGGGCCATGAGTTTGTAACTCATGGGAATTACAAACCCGTGAGGTGTGACAGGAAAGGCTGTGCCACACGGCATGGCCATGGCCCTTGTGCCTCCCTGCTGGCACTGCTGGAGACATGGATGGCCCAGGTGCACCCACCCAGAGCCAGACTCATGGAGAAGGGCTGAGCAGGCCCTGAGGGCACACAGGAGCGGGCTGCCAGCCTCGGCCCGGGCACAGGGAGAGCTCCATTGACAATTAGCCACTAGAGGGAAGTGCAAGGCTGTACAGGGATGGGGAGGATGCCTGGGACCGCGGGCAGTCGCGGTTTGGGGATGGCAGCTCAGGCCATTTCACTGCTTTCTGTGCGGAGCTGCCCCCTCAGCCCTCGTCGCTGTCCTGCCCCAGTGCCCATGAGGCGGTGGCAATGTGAAAAATGCATGTATTTTATGATTGGCTTTTCGCAAATATTAAAATGAATATTATATGTGTTATGTCAGAAAATTATGCTGTATTAATTTTCTTAAGTGGTGTGTTAAATATAGTTTAAGGTTATAACAAAATGTTAAAATAGAAACTATGCTATATAGGATACTTTCTTTAAAGAAAGGACTCGCAGCGAGATAGCAGTCACAGGACATTTAAATATTTCAGAGAGAGAATTTATTGCTCTCTTATCAGAAGAAATGAACTTCTCCCTACCTTGCTCAGCCATGACGATGCCATCAGGATTAAGAGGAAGAAGCTGACCCGCCCAGACAGAATCCTGTGTTTGAATGGAATTTATGCATCATATATGAGGTTATGAATATGCAACAGGCTGTTGTTTTTAAGGGTTAATCGTCTGTTAATGTGGGTCCCCTCTCAGGCTTATGTTGCCCAGAAAAAGGTACCCAGACTGTCCATAACTCTTTGTTTCTATTGTCTCATATTGTCCTAATCCAGATTGTCCAAATTATTATCACTCTAATTATATTACTATTTTTATAGCCATTTTATTACTATTAAACTTTTAAACTTTTAAAAACCAAGTGATTGGTGTTTTTCACAGCAGGAAGGGTTGGCCACAGCAGGGTCTGGCTGGCCACAGCAGTGGGCCTCGTCCCCAGGCTGCCCGTGGTGCCCTGGGCCGGAGCCAGCATTGCCCCTGGCATGGAGATGTGCACCCTGGCATGGAGATGTGCACCCTGGCACAGAGGCCGTGGTCTCTCCAGACAGCACCAGAATAGCAGGAGCAGCCTGCAAGGCCGCCTGCCAGACAGCATCAACAGTTTGGGCCATTTTTAGCAAAGTGGGGAATGTGTTGTTTCTGGGACATGCGGTATCCAGGGCCAGAGGGAAGATGAGGGGATGACCTGGCATCCCTGGGGACAGTGAGTGGGAGCACAGGGCTCACACAGATCCCAGTGGAGGAGCGCAGCTCTGGAGAGGAAGAGCAGGGACAGCCAGGGGGATGAGGGTTCCCATGGAACTGGGCTCCACCGTGGTGCTGGTTTGATCCTGCTGGGACAGGACAGTGTGGGCAGCTGAGGGCTCCTGGCCCAGCCCCATGGCACAGACCCTGCCAACAGGGCCTGCACTGTCACCAACCTCCCTCCGAGGCAGCTGTCCCAGCCTCCCTGCGACCAAGGCAGCTACAGGGGTCTGACAGAGCACAGCTGATAATGAGCCTCTGCTCTATTTTATTCCTGTTTATAGATGGCTAAATATAACCTTGTGCTTATATTTAATTCTTACTGAAAGATGCGAGCCACAATCCATCAAGTCAGTTGTGGGTTTTTCATATTGGCTGGCTTGCATCAGGTCCAAGAGAGGGAACATCCAGGCATGTTGGGAAGGATGAAAGTTTGACAAGAAAGTCTCACAGATATGTATACTTGGCAGAAAGATTTTTAAATGTAGAGCCTGATGAAGGAATAGAGATGGAAGCAAGTTTTGATATAGAAGAAAAGAATTGCTGAGCCAGTTTTCTTGGCTAACCAAGGAGGCAAAGGGTGTGTCAGTTAGAAGGGTTTTTATGACTTAGAGCAAAAGATAAACCCACCCAAAACAAGATGTTTTTACCAAACAGAAAGATAGCACTGACAAACAAGTCACCAAATGTTGCAAGTAGAAAAAAGGTCTCAGAATTTTCCATTGCAAGAAAACTGAAGAACAACTTGTAACTTAAACTGTAATGTACTAACTTTTAGTGACTGGAGAATAGTAACATGAATATGGTAATTATAGTAGTTATGGCAGGCTATAGATAATAGTTAAGGTATAGATTGGTTCTACTGTATTAAGATGCTCAGCAAAGAAAAGTCTATAATGCATTGTGACCAAAACCAAAGGGTCTCCAGGCCTGCCTGCAGCTGGAGCTGACAGCTGTAGGCACAGCTCTGTCACCCACCACCTGGGCTGCTGTAACTCTTGGATACAATAAACTGCATTTTGGATACAATAAACTGCATTTTGGAAAGTTGCCTGGAGTCCCACATCCCTCATTTAGGCTCTTACACAGGCTCAGCACAAGGCCTGTAGCCAAGGTAGGTACTGGCAGTGGGTCCCACACAGGAGGGCTGGTGACCACAGAGCAAAGCAGAGAATGCATTGCAGGACTTGTGAGCAGCAGCTTCCTCTGTGCCAAAACACCCTCAGTCCATCCAGAGTGCTGTCCCTGAGCACTGCAGCTGTGGGCACTGCCAGGACAGCCCACATTTGGTGCCAGGCTTTGCTTGTCCCCAGGCAGAGCCAAAGGCATTTGATTTGTTCTCCTATCACAAAGCCAGAAGCAGCTTTCTGCATTGTACAAGATCTCCCTCTGCAGCAGGAACAGGAGCCAGCACCAACCTGCAAACCAAGTATGCAACACAACAAAACTGCAAGCAGGTGTGCCAGGGGTTGTATCTGCTGGTTGTACCCCCAGAGATAAACTTGCACCTCTCTTCTGGGAGGTTGGGTAATGTTTGGGAAGATGTTTGATGGACCACTGAAAAATTTATCACTGTGCTACTTCCCTGACAACTGAATTGAAAGACCATGAGGTAATTGCAGCACTACCTGTAAAACACCTCATGTCCAATCCTCAGCTCCTGGCAGCCTAACAAATATCCCAGTGATACATTTTGGGGTTCAAGCCAAAAGTTGACTGGGGAAGCAGCCTTGTCTTGCTCCCACCTGGGGCAGGGGCAGCTGAAAACCTCTCACTCCACAGCAAAAGCAGGTCCAATTTCAGTTCCAAGGCCTTGCTCCTCCATTCGTTGCTCAGGAGACTTTGACAGAAACATTGGCATTGCATGCACACAAATGCACATGGCCCTAGATAATCACATTTATAACAAAACACATCCAACTAGAGTACTATAGTATTTTATTGGGGTTGCATGAGAGGTTGCTTTAAGTCTCAACATTGCATGCAATACCCACAATCCAACAAAAACTACAAATATTCTTCAAACGCTGGACTTAGGGCTTGACCAGAACAAGGCAGGCAGTTGTCCTGTGGCTCCTCCCTTCTGCACCTTCTCCTCAGGCTTTAGCATTCACTCATGCTGACTTCCAGCTCTCCATATAAAAAGTTATTTATGTGCTCATTTATCCATCTTTTTAGTCCCTCCCAATAGCCAGGTCTTGAAAACAACTCAGCAATTCAGAATGCTGCCATGCCAGTACTGGCATTCACTCAGATGAGTTTCCCCTCTCACAATCACACCAGCTGTGCATGCCCAGTTCCAACACCACACAATCTTTTCCTGGTATGATTTTGGGAACTCAGGTTTGCCAAGGTGCCACCTAGCTAACTTTGAACTGCCCCACAGCAGCTGCAGAGGAAGGAGAAAGATACAGGGAGAAAGAGATTTGGTTTTGGCCTAAAGCCAAAAAGCTTGATAGGTGGAAAGCCATCCTAGGGCTGTAATTACTCCAGTCATTTACAATAGTGCTGGCACAAGCTTAGGTGCCTTAAAAAGGAACTTTCCCCCAGTGCTGCCCTCCCCCTGGGGCAGCTTTGCCCTTCTTTGGTGTGGCAGCAGCCTCCAGCCTCCAGGAATGGTTCTTGCAGTTTAAAAGGAGAAGCTCAAACTTATTCCACAATAATTCATTTCCTAGCACACTGAAAGCCCCACGTGTGTGCATTGCTGTGAGCTGGACACACTTTCTCCAGCAGCCACTAAAGCATTTCCCAATTTGCAGAGAGCAGCCGGCACAGCCCTGGCTGAGCAGGCTCTCCCACAGGCTCTCCAGCAAACCACTGCTCCTCCAGTTCCTGTCCAATTCCCAAAGCCATCTTTTCCCTGTAAGGCCATCTTCCCAAGCTATCCCAGTGGATTATATATCTGTTCCAAAACTTAAGTTATGTCCAGGAAAAATTAATGGGAAAACCCAAGTTTTAGGTCAGCATGCGCAATAGCAAAGGGAGCTGCAGTGTCTGAGCTGACAGCTCCCTGTGCCCTCAGTTTAGCAATGCAATAGCCAGACTTCACTCTCTAAACAGACTGCAGCAAGCCAACCAGGACTCAAAGCAGCTGGTAAGCATGATTTTTTTTTTCCTCCCTCCTTACTAAGTTCACGAGTTTCTCTTCTTTTGTGCTGAATTGGACAGACTTTTCTGTTTGCAAAAGGTTTTCTTTCTCAGAGTTATTCTCGTAATAGCCAGACAGTATTTTAAACCAAGAATAGCTGATCTCCATTAGATTCATACTCCCCTTTTTGGAAACACTATTTAGAGAACAGAACTCCTAAATCAAAAAGTATTCAACAACAGTGAGAAACTGCATGGCTGTAACAGTGAATATTGCACTGGCACCTTTCGATTCACCTCTTTCCTCAAAGACTCCAGGGAAGATTGGGTTTGTCCAAATCTCCCAGAGTGGCGCCAGTTCCTCACCAGAAACCTGCACCACCCACATTTAAGGTGTGAGCCCTCTGGAACATCAGCAAAAATTACACTATGAGAATTACAAAAAGAAAAACTTTTGACGTAAGCCAAAGCCCTGGTTAATACCCTTTGGTAAATACCCTTTCCCTTGAGGGAAATTCTCCAGTGGGGAAACAGATGGACTTTTAAGTCTGTTTTGTGCAGAAGGATGTGGGGACTTGGAGTATATAATTTTTGATATGGTGCAATCTGAAATTTAAATTCTGAATTATTATGTAGCCCTTAGGAATGGCATTGTTCTCACAGATGCTACAGTGGTTTCTGCTGATAAATGAATAAGCTTCATGTAACAGATATGTGCCTTTAATACAGCAGCTGCCAAGGCGATCCCTGAAAGCCACCAGCAGCACAGAGCTCATCTATTTCTTGTTGATCTGTTTCTTGTCCAAAAGGTACGACTGACATTCAAATATAGCAGATTATGTCATGTTAAACTGATGCTAAGCATCAGATGGAAAACCAGAAGGAAATGGGACAGACCAAGTAAAGAGATGTCACTTCTAAACCAGAGCTTAAGCTCAGATCTGGTAGACACAGCTTAAAACTTCCCCTTTGTAAGATATACTTATGCCAGAGAACTGCTTGGCTTCTCGAGCACAGAAATCACCTGAGCTTGAGTTAGACTGTGGGGATAGAAGATGTTCTTTCCTTGCAATCACAGCACTTTTCTCCTGCGCAAGGAGGGCACTGAGTGTGTGATGTGTGCTCTGATGCTGGGGAGGGCATGGCTCTGAGCAGGCTGGCCAGGCAGCCCCCAGAAAAGCTTCTGCAGCCCTGCTTTGGCCCCTCACACCTGCACTGCTGGTGGCCTTACAGGAGGGGTTCTTTTGCACCAGGAGAAGACCTGGATGTGGGGCACATCGCTAAAGTTGAGTTCTAGGCAGGGCACCAGAAAGCAGAACTAACCCCAGCAAAATCACCAAAACGCAGCTCAAGAAACACAATTTTGAGCCACATTTCTATGGGTCACCACCATGCTTTAGCACAGTTAGGTGTCCCCAGCAGCCTGTGCTGGTTTGGAGGGGTAGTGCATGAGCTGGAGGGGACCCAGGCAGGGGGGACAAGGGTCCCACTAGGGCATGGCAAGGTGTGATCACTGTGCACACCTTGCTTAGCAAACCAAGCCACTTTCAGGATTTACAGACATCAGCTTCACTGCTCCATGCTGGTCCCTGGGCAATCACTACCTCCCTTGCTGCAAGGGGATGTTTCTTTTCCCAAAGTACAGGGCCACAGGAGCACTGCCTAAGGGGCTCAGGCTATGCCCACTGCACCTCACAGCACCCTCAGCCCCAAAACTGCCCCCAAGGCAGGACACTGCCATCTCAGAGTGCTGGGTGGCTGCTGGAGCCTGGCTGGGTGGGCACAGATTTGGGAGTTTCCTGATTTTAGGTGTTATGCACTGCCCACAAAAGCCATTAAAGAGAGCTTTTAATTTTGTTTTTTTCAAAGCCCCTTCAATATCTTCAATATAAATACTTTTTTTGCAAGAATAACTGAAATCATGGCAACCTCTTTGTTACTGTTGTGGTTTAACCCCAGCTTGCAACTGAGCCCCACAGAGCCACTCGCTCACCCCTGCTACAGCAGAATGGGAGAAAGAGAATTGCACTGGTAAAAGTGAGAACACTCATGGGGAGAGATGAGAACAAATTGAAATAAAATAGTAACAATAACAATAAGAAATTGTAATGGAAAGGAAAATAACAAAGAGAGAAAGACAAGTGGTGCAAATGAAGACAGATGCTCAGCACCAACTCACTGATAACTGGCCAGCCCCCGAGGAGCAGCCTGGGGCCAGCCTTACCCCTGGTTTAGAGCTGAGCATGATGCCATGGTTTGGAATATCCCTTGGCTCAGCTGGGCTCAGTTGTCCTGGCTGTGTCCCCTCCCAACTCCTTGTGCACCCCCAGGCTCCTCACTGGTGGCGTGAGGAGCAGAAAAAGCCTTGATGCACTTGAAAGCACTGCTCAGCAATAACAAAACCACCCCTGTGGCATCAGCCCTGTGTTCAGCACAAATCCAAAACACAACACATGGACAAAGAAAATTAACTCTGCCCCAGCTAAAACCAGCACATTTCTTCAGCTCCTTTTGAAGCAATTACACCAGAGCTAATAAGACATTATTTAAAATATGACGTTTGAATAGCTTGCCCAGGAAAAGCAACCCTGCAAAGAAATTGCTCCAAAATATTATTTTTCTTGAAAATTACAGAGCTAAGGGACTCTAATTGCCATGCTGTTGCTCACTTTTTATTGCCTATTATGCCACTTACAATGCTCCTAACAGGATACCTTTACTGTTCCAGAGTATAAACCCTGCCCAGGGAGCAGTATCACACAACAATGGTCATTTTAAAATTATTTTGTGTTCTAAAAGCCTGACTCAAAGCCCACCAGGGGCTGGGAGCATAGGACAAAGCCAGGCTGGCTGCAGGGTGTCACCACCAACCTGGTTTTGGGCAGCTGCATTAATTGCTCTGACCAGCAAAGCAGCCAGATTAAAGAGAAATGCAACCCTACAGTGCCTAAACACTGCACAATTTGTCTTCCCATAATCAAAAAACAATTCAGATGGAAAAAAACCTCCAGTATCACAATTTCAAATTGTGGCTCAGGGAGGCTGGGAAGCCTGGCTGTGGTTTCTGTTCATGTTAGATAGATCCAGATGAGCAGGGTGTATGTGCAGTGAGAACCCACCCCTGCCTGGGAGGCTGTGGAGGGTTTGAGACAACTCTGCCAGCCCCGTGCCTCCCATCAGCTGCTCACTCACCCAGGCAGGAGCCAGGGCTTTTTGTGGCTAATTGAGCAGAGCTTTGCAAGGAGATCTGCCGCAGATACCCTGGCATGTGCTGTGCTGGGTGCTGAAACATCTGTGCCTTGCACAGAGCCCGAGAGGGCTGGGGGGGTAGCTGGTCGTTGCTCCTCTCTGCTCTGGCTGAGCCCCAGGGGCCCATCTTGGCTCATGGAGCTCACACCAGCAGCACAAACTGCTTTCCTTCAGATGGACCGACTGAAATTTAGTCTTCTGCGCCTCTCTGTTATTTGGGGGAGGTGGGAAGAGTGTTCACTTTTTTTCTCTATTAACTTTTAAAGTTAACAAAGCAATTATCCACATCAGGAACCAGCAATGAGGGGCCTGGCAGGGTTCCTGCTGTGCTCGTGGCTGCTGCTGCTGGCCCCCCACTCCACAGGGGTGGCTGCCCAGGAGACCCCCCAGCCTGACCCCAAAATGCCGTGTGCCAACTGGATGGGAGGAGCACCCGGCTACCCTGGCCACAACGGTGCCCCCGGCCGGGATGGGAAGGATGGAAGAGATGGACTCAAGGGAGATAAAGGAGATGAAGGTTGGTGAGGAGCAGGTGGTATGTCATTGCTCAAGTCCCAGTCCCTGTCCCAACAGGTTCCATGTCTGGTAGGTCCTGATCTTTATCCATATGGCTTTTGATTATCTCTTGGGGTGGACATTCCCAAGTCAAAGAGTTTGGTGTGGGTTTTTCTCCAGTTAATGATGTTTTTTCTGATGTGCTGCTCTCAGCAGCTCTGCACACAGCCACGGTGGTGGGTGAGCAGGGTTTCCACTCTCTGCCTCAGCCCCTGGGGCCTCTTGAGATCCCTGAGCCCTTCCTCAGCTCAGTGCTGAGCAGGGCTCACACCACAGCCCCCTCTGCACTTCAGCAGCAGCTTCCAACACAGTGCAAGCGCAATTCCCAATTTCCACTCTGTCCCGCAGGTCCTGCAGGTCCCAAAGGTGAACCAGGCCCAGTAGGGAGCCGAGGCTTTCCCGGACCTCCTGGATCTCCTGGAATTCCTGGAATCCCAGGGCAGAAGGGCAAAGATGCTTTTGTGCAGCGCTCTGCCTTCAGCGTGGGGCTGACGGAGCACAGCCCGGCCCCCAACGTTCCCATCCGCTTCAGCAAGATCTTCTACAACGAGCAGGGCCACTACGACCCCAGCACGGGCAAGTTCCTCTGCAACGTGCCTGGCACCTACTTCTTCTCCTACCACCTCACTGTGTACCTGTCAGACGTCAAGGTCAGCCTCTACAGGAAGGACAAGGCCGTCATCTTCACCTACGACCAGTTCCAGAACAACAACGTGGACCAAGCCAGCGGCTCCGTCCTGCTGCACCTCAGCTCCGGGGACGAGGTCTGGCTCCAGGTGTACGGGAATGGGGACAAGAATGGGGTCTATGCTGACAACCTCAATGATTCCACCTTCATGGGCTTCCTCCTGTACCCCGACCCAGATACCTACTGAAGTAGGGGGTGCTGTGTGGAAAAGGAGGAGGTGGCTTAGCCCCAGACGTGTCCTGGGGCACTGGCGCTATAGCTCTAATGTATTTACCAAAAAAATTGCCTTTTGCCAAGAGGGGACCCTTTCTCCTGTGAAATCACTGAGGTCATACTAATACTTCCATGGAACCAAGAGTTCACTCCTACCTCTGCTCTTGCTTTCCTGTGGAAACCTCAGCCCACAGTCAGATACCACTCCTGTCATGTCATGAAAAACTCTCAACATGGCTTAACCTTCCTTTAAATTTAGAAGTGAGAAGAGAAAAATTGGTTGCATTTAAGTGTGACATTCTAAATTTCTCTTTTTTAGCCACCTAAATCCATTTAAACCAATTGTAGAAATTTTACTTTTCAGCTGGAACAGATGGCTCAATTTTTTGTAACTCCCACTTCTTAGGGCCTTTGACTTCCACTCCTGGTTTGTTGTCTCCCTTTTTTCAGCCTAGATCTTTGAATGTATTCAGGTTATTAACATCCACTGATTTTAATCCTTTGATTTTATTTTTATGTTTATTCCCTATTGTTATCTCTAATGCAGACAGCAGGCTGCTTTAGGGCAGGGATCTTCTCTTGGGGTTTATCTGAGAAGCCTTTTGAGCACCAGTGAGGCCACACAACAAAAGCAGCCCATTGACTGTGTGGTTTTGGGGGTTCTGAGGTGATCACAAAGATCCTGTCCCATCTCCCCTCTACACAGCTCCCAGGTGCAGGCAGAAGTTGAGATCTATCAGCTGTGTGTGTCCTTTTCCAGGCTCTAAGTGTGCCACAAGCCATGGTTTGCCCACCAGCTGGGCACAGCTTTGGGTGGTGTTGAAGGATCCCATGTGGAGTGGGCTCCTGGGATGAACACCCCCATCCCTGCCCCAGCTTTGGGCAAAGTTACCTGCATGCAGAAGAGTGTTAGGGCTGGAATTAGTGTCAATCCCATCAAACTGCTCCCCAAGGAGCTTGCTTGACTTTTAGCTAAAAGAGGATTTGATGATTTCTCAGATACATTCAAAGAGAACTCCTGCTACTGAGCTTCAGAGCCAGCTAACACAGAGCAGAGCTAATGCAGTATCACAAGCACAAAACGGCTTTAAGAGCTTCAGCTGAAATTACTTGCAACATCATTTTCCACACTCCAGTGAATTACCACACTGCAAATAAAAAACAATAAAAAGCTCTCTCAATGAGAATGTCTCCACTTTTTTGTGTGTGTATTGTTGGGAAGGGCTTGAAGAAGGGGATATACTCCTAGCCTCACCAGGCAACCCAGGAAATCCTTTTTTTATTTTTTTTTTCAGCAAGATGGGGACACCATAGGCTGGCAAACACAGGGCTATCCCCCTTTTGCTTTCTCAAGAAACTCCACACTCTGAATTTCATCAAGGCTTCAGCATCTCACCACCTTACACTGTATTGCATTCTTTTGGGGTAAAATGAGCTCTGGTTTTCACACTTTTTCCCAACCAAATTCCCTGAATCCAGCCTAAATGGCCATCCAGAGCCAGGGCCTCTGGTGGCCCTGAAGGCTCCAAGCACTCAATTTAGAAAGGGTGAAACTGGTGCTCAATCTGGTCATGCTAAATTCAGTCAGCTGGGAAAAACCCTGCTCTTATTGTGGGAATTTATTGGGAGGGAACAGGGCAAAGGTTAACAAAGCCAGAAATCCATTAAAAAAAAAGAGATTTAAAAATGCAGCATTTGCTGGATCAAATGGTGTAAGAGGCTTAAATTGAAAGGAGCAAGTCAGAGCTCTTGCACTGTTTTTCTCAAATGTTTTCAGATGGATCTTCAGAAGGCAGGGAAAATTGAATCAGCCAGAGTACTAAGAGGCATTTGGGATAAACATTAGGAGGCTATACAAGTTTAAAGACCAGTTCCCAAGAGGGAGCCAGAACAAATTATTGCTTTCTTTGCTGCCATGCAGCAGGAGCAAACATGCTTACAGCTTTATCCACAACACCAGTACTCAGGCTCAGACCTTGGGAAAAATGTTAAAGAAAGTCATTAAGGCAGTTCCATGTAGTGACTCTTCCCCCCTTCTCACAGACACAAACACTGAACTGCAGCTTCACCAATGCCAGGAGAGTGCCTGTACTGCCCCTGTATGTCCCAGCCTGGCACCTCAAAGCCCAGCAAACAGCAGCCCAAGGCAAACACCCACCATGGAAACAGGGCTCAAAGCCCTCCCTTCAGGGACTGGGACTGTTTTAAGAAGCCTTTCACCTCAAATCTCTGTAAGATTCTTGCTCAGCTCAGACCAGCACTTTCCCAGCAGGCACCAGATTCCAGTTTAAGCCACCTCCCATCTCTCCTAGAAGGCAACTGCTCGCAGCAGAGACTCAGTCCATCCAGGAAGCAAGCACAGACACAGGACAGGCAGAGAAGCACCTCTGCCCCCCTGCAGCCCCACAGCTCCCTTTGCCCCCTGTCCCTGCCTCCTGAGGGGTCTGCATGGGGGTCTCAGCCAGCCCAAATGTTCTGACAAGCTTTGGGAGCAGCAGCTGAGCATGGCCACCCATCACCCCGGGGATCCTGATGGACCAGCAGCTCCAAGTTCCTGCATGTGGGGTGGAGATCAGACCTGCACCTCGCCAGCTCTGCCACCTCAGGGGCACATGGCCAGGCTGAGCATGGGCAGGGAGCTGCAGGGCACCGTGCTGGCCTTGGGCTGCCTTCAAGGAAGAACTGCAGGTGGGGTTTGGGGGATAATGAGGTGTTGGAACCCAGCACATCCCTCTGGGTGTCCAGAGCTGCCAGGACCCTGCCAGGGGGCTCAGAGACCCTGGCACACAGCCCAGAACACCTGTGGGTTTGATTATGACCCATGGAGCAAATTACCAGCTTTGTATGGAGACCTGAAAGCCACAGAGGTTTAAGTAGTGTAAAAATAAAATTATCACTGGGTGAAGGGGTAGATTTTGGGGTTTTTAGAATAGGGGTTCTGGGAACAAGATGGAGGGACTTGTCCAGACTTTCTTCTTCTCTACCTCCATCTTCTGCTGTGATGGTGGCACTTTGGGATTGGTTTAGAGTAGAAGCTCACTGTCTAACATATGTGATAGGTATTGGAAAGTAATTGTAAATATGTTATCTGTAGTTTGTAGTATAAAGAGATAACACCGCCCCGGGGGCAGGCAGAGTGCCTCTGTCTGTCCTGCTGAGCGGACCTCGGCTGGACAGGAGAAAAATTTTTACAGATAAGATCCAATAAACAACTCTGAGACTGAGAACTGAAGAGCTGTGAGTCATTCTTCGAACGTGCAGCCCCAAACAGAGACTGTTCATGTGTCTCGGGGCTGCAATAAACTGCAGAACTCCTGAGAATGAGGTCCTGGGGGATGGGCACAGGGGAGTTCCTAAGGAATCCAGCCTTCTTCCACTATGGAGTTGTGGTTTTACTCTCACTCCATGCTTCCTAAACCCATGGGAGGGGAAAACCTGGCCAGCACAGGCACATCTCCAAGGCCTGGGCTGGCTCCTGAGGATCACCCTGCATTGAACACACAATTATCTTGTAACAAAAGAGCAAACACGACACTGGCATGCTGAGAGGGCACTGAATCACCTGCTCTCCAACAAATTTAAATGGTTTAGTTTGTGGTTTTTAATCAATCCTGACAGCAGACGCCTTGTACAAAGTTATGTCTCACTATTTACTGCCTCTCTGGCAGGTTTAAAAGGATGCTTTTCCCTTTAGAAGCTAATGTACTCTAAGAGGCAGAAAGCAAGAACATTCCCCAATGAAAGATTGAAGTCACTGCATTAACAATTAGGGAGAAATAACATGAAAAGCTGAAGACAGCTGGAGACAGCTAGAGAGACTGACCAGTCTCATCCAGCAGGGAAACCATCTGTGAAACCATCCACAGCCCTTTCAAACACAATTATAGGCTGGTCCTAATTGTACTTCAACCCCATGTAATCACTTGTGCCAGTAGTTAATTGGAATACAAATAACAGATGCACTAAACCATGAAGAGCTACAAGAAAAAGATAAATTGCTTGCAAGACTTGCATTGCTGAAGTATAAACTCACTAGAGGGTTTTCATCATGGAAGCAGGCAGAGGGATTAGGATCAAGTCTGACATTTGGCTAATCAGCCACTCTTCTTCCATACAAGAAATGCCATCAGATTTAGAGTCTCTAAAATACTGTGCAGGAAACCAGAGTGTGCCCAGGCTGCCACGTTTCTCTGACTGTGTTTGTGCTGGGTGTAGGTACCTGATGGAAAGACTCAGTCTCCATAGGACTGCAAATCAGCAAACCCATCCTTAGGTCATCCTGGGATGATCAGCCCAGCTCTTTGAGAACACTGGGAAACTTCCTTCCATGGAGGTGCACTTCATTACCCTCCAGCCAATCCAGGGGAAAGGAAAGGTTTATTCCCAGTGAAATGGAAGCATTCTATGTCAGTATCTACAGTAGGAGTCCTAGTAAAATATCTGTATTTTATTTGAATATCTGTATATAAGCCTTGCCCTGATAAGCCCTGGTTGTTTTGGATAGGCTGCAGCTGTGATGTCCTTAATTGGGCTGCAGCTGTAGCTAATGAAGATAACTGGGATAAAAGGGGCTGGGCTTGGCCAGTCAGGGAGAATCTAGCAGGGGCCCTTACTAAGAAGCAGCAACAAGCAGAAGAAGAAGTCAATGTTGTGAAGAACTGCCTCCAAGAAGTATCACCCAGAAGGTAGGGGATGTTAGAAATATGATTGTAACAGTATGGGATGCTAGAAATATAGTAACAACAATATGATAACAACAAGTATCTATTTCTTCCTGCGGATATTCCCACCCTTGAGGCAATCTGTGGAATCCCTCTCATAAAAGCAGGGAGGGAAGCAGGGAGATGACACTTGAAGGCAATCTCTAATTCCTTTCTGGAGTCAGGCAGGGAAGGACAGGGGGTATGTTCACACCCAGCTCCCTCTGAAAACTTGAGCATCTGTGAAAGTGGAGCTCTGCCTGCAGAGGACAGC